TTTTTTTAGTCCTTTTTGTTCTGATTAGTCAAATTCCAATCTTTAATCTTCAATTTTCAATGCGTAGTCTGATACGGGCTTTAGGCGAACCTATAGAATAATTGCTCCTTTTTTTTTTAATTTGCTCTACTTTCAAAAATTAATTATCTACAGCATTTATTAAGAAAAAAATTAATAATTGCTTTTATACATTTTGCGGGATGTCAAGACATTGTGCGCATACGCAAAAGTATTTAGTGCTTGGGCTGCGTTCGAGAACGTCACCCGTGTGCACCGAGCGTCATTTTATCCTTGTTTTTTACTGAAAGTTGAACAAAGATAGAACGACGCTCGTGTGCACACGTGATGTTCTCGAACGCGACCTTGAGCAACAGAAACCGAGCGTGCCATTTTTCAAATTATTTATTTTTCTTTAATTCATTTAGGAAATATTAGCACTGAAAGAAAATGATTGAAATCAAACGGTGAATTGTAAACTTTCTGTTTTGTTACAGTATGTGTGTAATTCATTCAGCTATATATACAAGGTCCAATTAAAGTTCAATATAATTGTTTTAAAAAACTTGGCATATTTGAAAAAATTAATAAATTTATTGGATTCAAATAAATATTTATTTCAATACTCTTTTACACATCATTTATTCAAAACAAGTAAATATTTATTTAATTTGAAAAGGATTTCTTACATCAAATAAATATTTTTTCAAATCAATGTTATTAATTTCAAATAAATGATGTGCGAAGAAATGATAAACATTTATTTGATTTCAATTTTTTTTTTCAATGTTAATATTTTTTAAATGAATTAAAGAAAACTGAATAATTTGAAAAATGGCGCGCTCGGTTTCTGTTGCGCAGGCGCTAAATACTTTTGCGCATGCGCACAATGTCTTGACATCCCGCAAAATGTATAATAAGGACCAATTTCATCAAGTCCGGTTAGATGAACCGACGGTTAAAATTAGCAGGGTGGCCAACAGAAAATAGAGGTGAAGGAAAATCAAGCATTCATGTCATTTCAGTTAACCACTCTGCTAATTTTAACCGTCGGTTCATCTAATCGGACTTGGTAAAATTGGCCCTAAAGCAATTATTAATTTTTTTTCTCAATAAATACTGTAGATAATTAATTTTTAAAGATGGAGCAAATTCAAACAAAAAAGGAGCAATTTTTCTGTACCTTGAGAACCTTCAAATTCTAATGATTTTCATTTATATTGATGTTTACATTGTTATTAACTTTATCATTTATTTATAAAAAAAGTAAAATTGAGCGAATTATAAAAAATGTATATTATAAAAGAGCAAATTAAGCAGATCTTTTTCATGTATCATAAGTTTAATTACTATGTAGGTCGCTGGCTGAGAGCTTGGTGGGTTAGTGGTTACTATGGTATCACTGCTGGGCTGCGTTCGGAAACGTCACCCGTGTGCACACGAGTGTCGTTCTATCTTTGTTATGTACCAAAAGTTAAACAAAGATAGAACGACACTCCTGTGCACACGGGTGATGTTTCCGAACGCAGCCCTGCATCTGCGTAGTTAGAACAATGGCGGGTTCGGCTCTCAGACGATTGATGGCGGAATACAAACGTGAGGATCCGCTTTTTAGTCTTTTAGCACACTGCGTTAACATTATTTCGTATATTAATGACATTCTACGGGAAGCTTTTCTCGCCATCGCGACATCCTCTCTCCTTTCTCGTCGAACAATAATGTCTGCACGACGAACTTGCAGAACTAACCTTGAATCCACCGGAAGGCATCATCGCTGGCCCGATTAATGAGGAAAACTTCTTCGAATGGGAGGCTCTCATTACGTAAGTTTTTTCATTAGTCGGTTTATTTTCAAAAAATTATCGTTGATTCGCTAACGTGTGTATTGTGCAAATAATTTTTCTAAACCGGTCTCTATACGGTTTTAAACAAAACGTCAAACAATTAATGACGTGTAAATAATACTTTTATATGCACATACAAGCATTTTTATAAATTTTTCATAATGTTAGTGGAGTTGAATATTTTTAGTGGACCAGAAGGAACATGCTTTGAAGGTGGAGTGTTTCCGGCAAAATTAATATTTCCTCCAGATTATCCACTAAGTCCACCAAAGATGCAATTCACCTGTGAAATATTTCATCCTAATAGTAAGATACTGTGCTATTAAAATTATGATAAATGCTTAATTTGACCCATTTCACTTAAATTTCGATAAGAATATATTTAAAAATATACATGGTGTCCCAGAATTAGACTAACAAACTTCAGGTGATTATAAAGGATACCAAAACAAGCCAATTTTGTGAATAAACCTGTGTCCGCAAATGAGCCGTTTTGGCACTAGATACTATAAAAAGAATTATAAACTGTTAAAAAGTTATGTTTGTGAAAATTAATAAAAAAGCAAAAAAAGAAAAATAAGAAAAAAGAAAAGGTGGGTGAAAGGTGGAATCCTTTTTTTTGGCATTGCTTCTCCAAAAAATTTTACTCTGATCTAATTCTAATTTTTTCTGATCATTGTCAATTGAGACTATGAATTTCATATTTATTTTATTTTATATTTCAGATTTTGCGTGTTTGTTCATAGCACACATCCATATCATATTTCTTCAATATGGAAGTTTTTTAACCTTCACGAATATTATATTTTTAACAGTTTATAACCTTTTATAGTAAGCAGACGATTTTTACTTTTCAAATCTTTGTTTCTGTACGAAAAGACGCCAAAGAAGTGTATTTTTATCAAAATTTAAGTGAAACAAGTCAAATTAAATATTTACTAAAATTATTAAGCATAAAATGAAATAGATTTAAAAGTTATGAAGTGTATAATAATATAAAGCATGATCTTAAATATAAAGCATTATCTTTTTCTAAAAATATAAATATAAAGCATTATCTTTTTCTTAAAAGTTTATGCAGATGGAAGAGTCTGCATAAGCATATTACATGCACCTGGTGATGATCCAATGGGTTATGAAAGCAGTGCAGAAAGATGGAGTCCAGTGCAGAGCGTGGAGAAGATATTGTTGAGTGTAGTAAGTATGCTAGCAGAACCGAACGACGAGAGTGGTGCTAATGTGGATGCTGCCAAAATGTGGAGAGAGGATCGCAGTGAATTTGAGAGGATAGCTCAAAAACTCGTACGAAAAACCCTGGGTATCCCTTAAAATAGGACACACAATGTTTATTTAAAAAAAAAATAAAATAAAATAAAAAAAAGGAAAAGTCTGATTATAATTATTACTTTTATCAAAAAATATAAATAAATAAGGCCTTTACGAGCAATATATGGATGAACAATTTAGTTTTAATTTTAATTTATTATAATAAAAATTGTGAGACGTTTCGACACTCTACTTGTGTCTCCTCAGCCATTCAAAAAATTAACAATAAGGCGCCCGGCGCAAGATCAAGCATACCTCATGGTTTGATCAATACAATGTATATATGGCATCCATCACCTCTATCAGCGGTCGCAAATGTGCTCCTCATGTGGTCCAATGACTTTGAATTTTAAGTGAAGTCATTGTGTTTTCACAGATGAAATCAAACGTCATGTTGGTAAAATTTGTTTGTATCGCAATGCATAGTCAGTTATTATCTGTCAATATTTTACATCATTACTATTATATATAAACTAATATTACAATCAAATGCAAAAATCACTTACAATTTTTATTCCTACTAGTCAAACGAAAGAACAATATTATGTAAAGGAAGTTATCTAGCGCTGTCACTGACTCGAAAAAAAAATTATTTTATGTAATAAATTAAAATTAAAACTAAATTGTTCATCCATATATTGCTCGTAAAGGCCTTATTTATTTATATTTTTTGTTAAATTTTAACGAGCCTACTTTTAATTGTTATTACTTTTATGTTTCTTGTTGGCACATTCCTATATGAACAAATTTTTTCTATGCAACAATAATTTTTTTTTATGTATAAGTTATTCCTTGTATGTTCCACTGATTATTTGCACGTAGGATATGTGATTGATCTTATTAAGAGCTTTAAATAGTTACAAAGGTATATATATATACAGGATGTCCGGTAAAGATTGTGCCAACGCTCGTGAACGGATAAAGCACAGTAAACTGAACAAAAAAGTCCTGTAATATTTTTTTATATAACGCTTAATAAAGGAGATATTATTGAGTAAAGTGTGGTAAATCACCTATATATATTATAATATTATTAGCATTTTGCAGGCTTTATATACACTCATGACAAGAATTTGAATACGGGTATAGATAATGGATAACGCGCCGTGTAGCGGTAAGCAACTGAGCTATACTATTTTAAATATTAGTTAATTTGCAGATTCTGTTCAGTTTTTTCTGCCAATCTGCCGTTAGATTCTGCACGCCAGATCTTGCTCAGTTTCTGCCGACAATCTAATGTCAGTCATGTCAGCAAACTTTGCTCGGTTTCTGCCCCCAATTTGCTGTCTAGTTATGTTAGCAAGCTTTGCCCCCCCCCCACACACACACACACGCACACACACATACACCCACACACACATATCATTTCACTCTGTGATGAACCGTTAATAAAGGACAGGATTCGCTTCTTGCGTTCGAATGCATGATTGATGTTAAGTATTAGCACTTAAAATTATCAATCAATCCCATAAATTATTTTAGGATGATGTTAATTATCATAATCATATATATGGTGCGACATCATTTTTGTGTAAATGTACATCAGTGTAAATTTAATGTATTATCAACTAATATATTTAGATATATTTTATTTCCTTCTTCCTCACCTCTGAGTAGGGAATTAAATTAAATACATTTATAATATTTTATAAAGATATATGGGGTGCATTTAAAATGTCTCAGTCTCTGAGTAGTTGATTTGATTCGAAAGTTTTCTTTGATAATTCCTAAAAAAGTTGAATTAAAATAAATCCGTTTCCATAACAATTCTATAGTAATTTTTGATACTTTTTTAAATACATACGTTCTTAAATTATTTTATAGAAAAAAATCCATATTAGATGAAATAATTAATTAATAGATCATCATATATAATAAGTAATCTCTGATTGAAATTGCATTTGCGATTTTAAAGTTAAAGCAAATTCATTTTTTTAACGATCAATTTTTTATCAAATATTTAATCATATTTGGGTAATATATATAATGAATGTAAATTAACTGCAAGAATAGTCAATGTGATAAAATCTAAAATATATGATAAAAACTCAACAATTTTCTCACTTCTACTTAATATTTTTAAAAATGAACTTGCTTGTTTCTTGCACTTAGATCTTTGCAATTCGTTCTTTTTCATTCTTTCCCGTTTCATCGTAGTAAAAACAATAAAACTTTGTATGCGCGCGCGTATGTACATATTTTATAAGTAGTAAATAATATTTTACAATAATTTAACTGAAAAATAGAGTATTTGTGTCTAGTATTCAGCAATTATATTAGAATAAAATAAAATTTTTTAATATGTGTATATAGCTGTTTCAACCGCAGTATATCTTGTACGTTTTTTTATCTCTAAAATGCTATCTATACCTCTCTAAGACAAATATTTCTATTGGTTTTTTCTCGATCCGCTATTATATATCGAAAAGATTACAACCTTTTTTAATGATACTTTGGTTTTCCAAATATTTAATTTTTTAACCATTTAAAAAAAAGTATAATTTACCTGTAACATTTAAATTAGGTAATAAATTATCTCAATATATTTTTGCGCATTTTTTTTCATTTATATTAATAACACAAGATATACATAAGATATATCGTAAACATACAATTACATATGATTACAACAAACTATAGAAAAAAGAACTTTCTACAATTAATCTTAATATTTTCAATCTACTTTCATAAATTTTAAATAATGTGTCCCCTAATACTATGCGAATATCTATCTTAAGAAAACATAATTTATGTAATAATCATGTAAAAATCTTTGTACGCAAAATTATATATTTAACAGTGAACATGAGAATATGTACAAATGTTGTACTCTGGATACAGTTTTATACTTTGGCATGCGAAAGAAGAAGCATTTCACATTCTGTGTCAAGCGACTATACTATCAAAGTTAAACTTTCGAACGAAGCAAAAATTTATTTCCCTTACAATAGAGAGATATCCCTATGGATGTCATGTTTTAAAACTTCATTACGAGTTAACAAGGTTGGGTAAGTTAATTTTTTTTTAACTAAGGTAAGTTTGAAGTTAATAGCCCAAGAATTAACTAAGTTTGCGTTACAAGTTACTTAAACAAAAATTAACTTAGTTAAAGTTAATAAAGTTAAAAAATTATTAACTTATAGAAGTTAAAAATTTATTCTCTATCCAACAGCGAATCGACACATCCGACAAATTTGTTGTACAACAAATGAAATATTCGCATTACGATCAATCATTTTCACACGACTTTAATATTGATGAATTATTTTAACTTGTATAAAAAAAGTTAATAAGTTAATGTTAATGCATTTAAAAATAACTAGTTTAAGTTAAAAGTTAACACGTTTAAAATTAACTAAGTTAAGTTAAAAGTTATTAACTTTTCAACTTTTTAATTTAATTTTTAACTGTTTAACTATAGTTACTACCCAACCCTGCGAGTTAATTGGAAAATCTAAAGCAACATACACAATTAGTACCGGAATATTCTATATTCTATAAAATGCTCAATTTGTAATTGGGATGTTTTGCTTTTGATAAGACGGTTCTAATATCGCAACTATCTATTTATCAATAATATCACATTTTGCTAGAAGAAAAATACATTCAAAAGGAATTGTTCTTCGCAGCGCAGACATCGAAAGTTATAAATACATGTATATAAAAACATTTGATATAAATACACTTACTACCGTCCTTTAATCATGTTATCGTCGATGGAAATTTGAGTTACTTAAACGAGCTCTCTTGCTCGAATTGGCGCATTTAACGCTAAACTCAAATTTTGTTATCCGTCGAAATGTGTCCGTTATTCATTTTAAGAATCACTTCGATTATTGCACTTAGCTTCGACATGCTGCAACCTTGAAGGGCTCCCGCTTGGCACAGAATGCTGCGGCTTTCCTACAATTAATTTTTAAAATCCATTGCATCAATAACGATTAATGAAAACGCCAATTAACCGATTAAATAAACTTTTATTTTATCAATATATATTATTTGCTAGAAAAATAATCTGTAGAAATTTAATTAATTAAAAACTAACAATAAAAAATGATTGCACTAAAGTTATTTATGTTTGGTTGAAATTAGTTTGAATTATAATTTAGATCAATTCAAAAAAAAAAGTCCATATATATATACATTTCATATTTTGCTTTTTGTAAAAAAAAATGCAAAAATTATTTTTCTAATTACTTTTCAATTATTCTTATTCTTTTTCCTGTACATACGAACAGAGATTATGCAAGAGAAAAAAACACACACATACATATATATATATATATATATATATATGTATGTGTGTGTTTTTTTCTCTTGCATAATCTCTGTTCGTATGTACAGGAAAAAGAATAAGAATAATTGAAAAGTAATTAGAAAAATAATTTTTGCATTTTTTTTTACAAAAAGCAAAATATGAAATGAGAACAAATTACCCATATATAATTATATGTAAATTTATATGTGATTATATATAGGTAATTTCCTCCTCACTTCTCAAAATTTCTATTTTTCTAAAAAAAAAACCAAAAAACAATGCGATAATTATTTGCGGGTAAACTATAAGATTAATTAAAACATAATTAAACATTTAATTTAAATTAATTTAAATCGACTAAGTTACTCAATTATGTTAATTAAAATTAAGTTGATGCAATTCAAAAGTTTTTCCGTTAATCTATTACTAATTCGAATTATTACTTACTGTCACATCAATTCACCAAGCCTGTTAATACAAATGTGATTTTTAAAATGAGTTTAGAAAATAAGACGCTCACGCTCTCTTAACAGCTAGAATTTTCTTGCAAGTAAAATCACACATTCGTGTGTGTGCGCGGGCGTGTGCGTGTGCGTATGCTCTTATGACATATAAATATGTTCATTATAAAATCTTACGATAAATTTTTACATTAATGTACACTCTTCCGCCCTCCCCTCCCATGATCTTGATATTAACATATCAAAACGATAACTACCCTGCCGAAAATGTTCGATTAAAACTGATTTAAAAAAAAGTAATCCGAATCGATCGGGATTTCAGCACCGAAAATACGGTATTAAAACCGATTGAAAATAGTCCAATCGAATTTAGTACACGCTTCAGGCGGATTAATGTTGGGTGATATACATCCACCTCAATCCGAAATTATACGATTTCATAAGTTATAATTAAATCGGTTTTAATGCGATGTGAATCTGTCGGAGGACGACAAAAGTAATTCGGATTAGAAATAATCCGCGAAAACGGATATTAAAACCGATTATAATTCATTCGGAATTAAAATCGATTACTTTTTAATCCGGGCGCGGATAAAACGGATTATGTTTTAATCGGTTTTAATCGAACATTTTCGGCAGGGTATATAAATAATCTTCAAAAGATGTTAGTTGGCGCTTATTGTTTATTAAAAAGTTATTAACAAGTAAAAGTACATGCAAAGCGAGATTTGAACTTGGACTGACATGAAAGGGAGATTCAAAATGTTGGACATAATTTATATAGGTATTATTATATGCATACCCCCCCATGTATATTTTACAAATACTCATATAAATCTTTATATATGATATTCAAAAATATTAAAAATTGAAAAGAATATGTGTGTGTGGGCAGAGGAGATGGGTTTGCAATTATCCATGAAACGCGACCTCAATTCTATTATGCCCGTATCAGACTACGCATTGAAAATTGAAGATTGAAGATTAAAGATTGGAATTTGACTATCCAGAACAAAAGGGACTAAAATTTCTTTGTCCTGATTGGTCAAATTTCAATCTTGAATCTTGAATCTCAATATTCAATGCGTAATCTGATACGGACTTTAGGGGTATGTAAAAGTTTTAGTCCTTTTTTTCAGCGTTCTGGGTACCGATCATGTAACGTTTTTCCTAGGGCGGAAACATGAAAAGTGAAAAATATTAGCATTGAAATCAATGGTAAAATTTTTCACTATTCATTTTTCCGCCCTAGGGGAAAAGTTACATGATCGATGATGGTATAATTATTTTAAATTCAAATAATTTTCCGCCTTTTTGTATATTTGCAAGGTTGATATCAAACTATCTGAAACGCCATATTTTATGATTTAATGGTACACATAACCTTACAAAATAACAGTGAACATGACGAGCGTCGAAAAACTTTATATTCGACACTGCATTCGGTATGAGTTCCAGCAAGGAAAAAACGCTGCTAAAGCATGTGAATCAATTTGCTCTATTTTTGGTGAAATTATTTGGCCGAAAAAATGGAAGAAACAAGACTATTTACTGGTCAAGGAAGTCGGAAAGTTGTTTTGCAACACGATAATGCTAGGCCTCATGTTGCTCAGACCACTCAGCAAACCATCTTTAATTTGGGCTGGGAAGTTCTTCCGCGGCGTACTCACCTGACTTGGCGCCTTTGGATTATCATCTATTTCGATCGATGCAATAAGCTTTAGCCGGACAGCGCTTTCGAGATGTGGCAGAGATACGAAAATGGCTCGATGATTTCATTGCCTCCAAACCCATGTCTTTTTTTCGCAACGGAATCCGAAACTTGCCAGAAAGGAGGTAAAAGGTTATAGATAATGAGGGAAAATATTTTGAAGATTGATTTGTAGTACTTATATTATATATAAATAAAAGAAAATTAAAAAAAGAGACTAAGACTTTTGCATACCCCTAATACATCATTCGGTGCTTTCGGTGCAAAACAAGATCTATAAATATACAGTTTCATATAAGTTTGCAACTTTTTGCGCAAAATGAGATTTCTCTTTGGTAAAACTCTCGAAGTTGGGCCTATACGCCGATGACCTTGACCTTGACATATGTTGTCAAGGAGGTTCTTCTGAGTAATTCTCTGCAAGAATTAAGTGGCGGACGGCATTAGTTTAAACGATACAACGGTAAATATACAGAAAGAGGACAATCATCGTCCTAAGTGACTCTGACCTTGAAAAAAGTAGCGGTCACGATCCGTTCAAAAGTTATAAAGCATTAAAGAGTGAACTTCACTTTGTCTTGCAAAGTACATGCGTGGATGCAGTGGATTCTGCCCCCCCCCCTACGGGGGGGCTTCACTTCCGGAAGATATAACCTAACCCAAACCTATTTTTGATTTAAAATTAAAATTTGGTTTGAATTACGTTATATAACCCAAATTGTAGCTTCGGGGTGAAATTTTTTCGGATTGGGGGTGCAGGGGGAGGGGCCCCGCCCCTTCCCGCCCACGCGTTAAAATCGTAAGCCTTTTTCAATAAAAAAATAATAGATTATTACAGCATACACAAACTTTAATGTGAAACTTTAATTTGTCATATCTTTTAAACGAATGCTTTCCCCCACTTTTTGGTGCCGAAAAAGATGATGCTATTAAAATCTTGCGCGACGTCTATGATAAAACATCTGTCATAGATTGTGAACTATTAGCGTATGCTGTGGATGAACTTTTGTCTGAAACCTTGAGACGAGGTGATGTATTTTAATATAAATAAATGTGATAAAAAATGAAAAAATGATTATGTATTTCTTTCGCTTCCCTTTCTTGCTTGCGCTATCCTTCTCCTACATACGTGCATGCCTCGCGTAAGCGTTCTTCGTAAAGTGATACATCCCCTACTCCAGGCCTGTCTAACCCGCGGCCCGCGGGCCACGAGTGGCTCTTCCCCCTACCTCTGAGCTCAGGCTCGGCTCCCCCCACTCTTCCAACCGACGGCTCTTCCAGCTTTCGATGCTTGTTCTCCGCTTGCTTGTCTTATCTCTAGCTCGCTAGCATCGTGCGTTTTATATCGCGAAATAAATATCACGAAATATCGCTTATTGCTTCCACGTTACGACGCGTATGCAAAGTACAGCTTGAACGAGACCTAAATGCTACTTGTTAATTATAATTGATTATAATTACTATATTTTCTCTATTAATTCATTATTAGTATTTCCTTTTATTATTAATATTACTATATTATTATTATATCACGTCACATTATTTATCCATGTTACTACAACTTTAAATAACATTCGTATCCCTACTATTATTATTAACCTTATAACATTTTAGTAATATCATGTCAAAAAGAAAGCTTGACATGTCCAATCGTCAATTTTACTGCCTTATGCGTAAATAAGAACGTTTACGACGCTGCGCGTCGAGACTGTGAGCTGCGGAAACACGCGATGGTGGGGGAAGTCTAAAGCGGTAAGAATGGGATCGGTTGCTCCTCCGCTCCTGGCGGTTAGACAGGCCTGATTTACAGCATCGTGAGATGAAAAATTTTGCTGTCCATTTGCTTCAAACTTTTTGACAAACCAAAACAAGACAAATGTTTGCTACACAATTGTTGTCAAAATTATAGCACACCTTGTCGCAAAGCTTTGGCAAAACGTGATTTTAACATTCTTGGCAATCTGGGAATAGATGGTGTGGGATAATCCTCACTTCGCCTTGCAAAGTATATGTCAAGCGGGGAGGGCAATTATAGATCTCGTTTTGCACTGTACATATGGATCGGTGTGGGGAGAAATTCGCTTCGTGTGGAAGTTGCAAATCCATGCAGAACTGTACAATTATATACCTCTTTTCGTACTGTAAGCAGAGGGCGGTGTTCCACATATGAAACTTTAAGTTGCTATATCTTCTAAACTAAGCCGTCCGCCACTTAATTCTTGCGGAGAATTACTCAGAAGAACCTCCTTGACAACATATGTCAAGGTCAAGGTCATCTGCGTATAGGCCCAACTTCGAGAGTTTTACCCTCTCTTTTCCTCTACCTTCCTCCCTCCCTCCCTTCCTCTCTCCCTCCCTCTCCCCCCCCCTCTCTCTCTCTGTCTCTCTTTACCCCATATTAATTTCAAAGCAAAACAAAATCTAAGATAGTGGTACATTGAAATAACATACTACACAGGGCTCTAGTCCGCTA